AACTGGGGCAGATTTTGGGTGAACTGTGGAGGATCAGGCAAAGAGGAGACGAGTGCGGAGAACTTTAACATACTTTCCAATGTGGTGCCATGGATACATTATTACATTACATTTCTGATGTGCGGAGCATCGAGCTGGAGTTGATTGCCAGAATGAGGTCAGCTTCATCTCTGATAGCAAACTGGGATGGAATTATAAATTTGGATTGAGAAGATTTTTACTCTTCTCTACAGAAACTTAACTACAATGTGTTCCAACTCCCAATCCAGTTAATCTACTGATGAAATCCTCTGATAAGAAGTCACTAGAGTAGAGCCATAAAAGCACATTAAAATAACTGGAGTTTGGCATAACAGTAAAACCAAGTATAATTAGAAAACAAAGGGCTAAATTGGTCTTGAACTGCGTCTTAAAGGTGTTATACCTTATTTTCTATTCAACAAAATCAAGTTTTTGTTTATTCTTACCCCTTAAATTAACAAGTTTCCTAGAGCAGAAACTAGAAAGAAGCAATGTGTCTTCAGTTTAGGCAGTTATAATGAGGCATCAGGGAAGATTCAACTTGCAGTGAAAAGGCATTCACCAGATTTCTTCAGCTTTTGCTTTTTTTTTTTTTTGGTCACATTTAATTGTTTTGGATCATCAAACTCATACCTATATATAATGGTTTAAGAGCTTTATGCAAATTTGTATAATTGAAATTATATTAAATAATGTGAATAATTGCTGTTTAACTGTTGATTAACTGAGATATTATTTGTTCATGTTATTTCATTAGTGACACCGAAGTCTGATTAATGTCTGGCCTTTATATTCGATAAATCATTTAAATACAACCGGTCAGAGGCTAAACAATCTCATAAAGCAGCACACCATTAACCAATCTAAACAAACTCAAGGTCTTATGACAAACAAATTTGTTCTCATCAGACGCTTTGGAAACTTAAATCCATTGAGACGCCAACAAACCGCAGCAAGAGAACAATTGTAAAACTACTCCAAGGATGAATCAATGAATCATCCAGGAGGTCACAAAAGAAACAACATCTACAGACCTCACCTCCCTCAGTTAAGATCAGTATTTTTCATTTCATAGTAAGAAAGAAAGACCGTAGCAACAATGGCTACGTTTGCACTCACCACATAAATGCACAACTTGACATTTTTAAAATTTGCTTAAGGAAACATGGTCATTTTGAAGAAAAAAAAACAACTCTTTTTTAAGAAAATGTTTTTCTGAGGTAGGATTATTTCACAAAAATGCAATGTGAACACTTCTTTCGCATCATCTGAGTCACATGATCAACAACCAGATGTTGCCACTGGCGTAAGCCATGAAGAAGAAGACAGGAAGTAGTAGGAGAATAATAGGGCGACATGTTTAATGACTTTACATGAGCAAACTTATGCAAGTGAGATTTCGATTGTGTCTCTTAGTTAATGGAAACACAAAAAAGCAAAATTGTGGTTTTGTAATTTTTTCTGGAATGTGTGCAAATAGAATAAAAATTGCTTTATAATCATACAGAGGGCAAATTCCACAATCAAAGCAAGAAAGTTCACACAAAGAATATAAAATACCTATCAAGCTGAATTTGATCAGAATATTCCAATAAATTATGTCCATGCCAATGTGCTTATTGCTCTGCATCACTGATGTCATTCTAGCTACAGAGTTATTCTGTACCTGCTGTTGGAGCGTCCTACAATAGAGCTGGCCTTCATGATGAGCTAACCGCTTCCTCTCAGTTGTAGATAAGTTGCTGCTCCAACATATGATATTATTTCTTCCTATACCACAGAGGCTTCCAGTTGTCCTTGGAGCATATTAATAAGCCTTACACTGAAGTATGGATCTCTCAGCGGTCAATGCCGGGAGCAAAGGAAGGCCAGATGTGGAAAGTGTGCAAGGGTAAAAATCCTGCTTTGAAAATTAGAGCTATATGTTGGGAAATGTAAAATATGGTACTGAATATGTGGTTTAAAGGTATGGAGGCTTTCTCTACAAAAACCAACAGAGATTTGTCTGTGATTCAGATAAGGTTCCTTAGTTTGAATAGAACCCTTTTGCTGTTCATCCAAGGTTGTGTCTGCAGATTTGAAGCTTCCTGAAATCAGTAGTTTGAAGGCAAACTAACCATTAGGCCTCCTTTGAATTATTCTGGCTTACTGTCGGCTGCCTTAGCACTGCCTGTAACACACCATTCAGTTCATAATTCAATATTCAAAAGATCTTCCTCTGAATCAAACCATTTCGAAACCCAACACTGATCTCAACGGAGGCTAAATCAGGTCCAAATCAGATGGTTTTGTATTTTTTCCGCAACTCTACTTCAATACATTTAATCATGTTTGAAAAATCCGTCAATAATATGGCAGCATCACGCTCTAAACCTCGCAGTATTCAAATAGAGAAATAAAAACTGGTTTCAACCCGACGTCTCTCTCCATTATCGGTTTGTCTCGTTTGTCGCAGCACATCTGTGTTAGTCAGAGCGCCGATCTGTCTGCATGCCTTCCTGATTGTGTGCAGAGAGAAGCCCGTCCAGCCTTCCCTTCCTTGTTGTTGAGGGTCTGCTCGCCTCTTTCATGTCCTACCTGGGCACAATAATGAGGTTCACATGGGAACACAGAAAAGAAGCTAGAAAATATCTCCGCTCTCATTTGAGGCAGCCCTCACGGGTTTGCGCGATTGTGTGCGCGAGCTGCAATAATGTCTAAGTTTGCCTCATTTGAATAAAAAGATGAGAGAGTCTACAAAGCGTGTGCACACTCCTCTGAAAGAGGACGGGAACATTTAGGGGGTGCAGGCGTGCATGCATGCGTGGCCTGAGATGGAGCACGAGCAGAGATATAATGAGGAGGGCTTGCAGACTCTGAGACACAAGAATGAGTGTTTAAAATAGGTGGGAGGGAGTCTGTAAGGTGCACGCACTCCTGCAGGAGAGTACAAAAGAAAGAGAGAAAACAAAAAGGAAAAAAAGAAAAGGAGAGACAGAGATTTTTTTTGTGTGTGTGGAATTTGGGACCAAACAACACAAGGAGAAGAAGCATAGTGGGAGGAGGTGAAGAAGATCACATGCACACAATGTGTCCAGAAAACAGAAGGAGTGAGAGATAGAGGGGATGAAAGACGGGAGGTGGGGAGCTAACACCAACCGCAGAGCGCGCGCGGAGAGAGAGAGAGGCGATGGAGCTAACGTGGGAAAGAAAAAGGAGAGGCAAGGGAGGCGAGAAAGACGGGAGTAAAACGAGTGAAAGAGAGAAGGGATGTGGAGCTGCTGCGAGCGAGACACAACCATAACACATTATGTCTAATATTAGAAAGAGACGAGGTCTGCTGGAGGAGAGAGAGAGAGAGAGACAGAGAGAGGGAGTGGAGAACCACGAATAAGTCTGAGGATGGGAAGACAGACACACACACACACACACACACACACACACAAAAACACCCATTTAAAGAGATAAATGCCTTTTAGATCAGGAGGTTATTCTGAGCTGCACCCAAGCATGACTCGTTATCTCACTTCACATTTGTTGTGTATTCCTCTCTTTTTTTAACTCCTTCATTCCTCCACTTCATCCTTCTCTCTGCTGGCTCTCAGACTGTGTGTGAAGCTTAAACTACTACAACTCTTCATCCAACCTTCCTCCTCCTCCGCCTTCTTCATCCTCTGCTTGGTGTGCTATTTCTGCTGTGAAGTTTTTATGCCGCTTTAACTTTTTCACATTTTGTCACACAATAACCACTAATTTGGTCATTTTAATTATATTTAATGTGATAGATCAGCAGGAAGAAAATGCTAAATTGTGAAGTAGAAGGAAAATGATCCCTGGTTTGGGAAATCTTTTAGAAATGAAAAACTGAACAATGTTAGAGTTGCTCTTTTACGTTAGCTTTGATTTGTTCATAAGGTTTTTTTATTGAGTTGTTGGATATCTGTGCAGTTATTCTGGATGCTGTGCAGTTTGATTAATCTCCAACTTCAACGTCTCTCTGCCCGGATTTCTAACCAGAGAGACCTGAAGAGGAGCAGCAAAAGCAAACGAGGTGCATTAGCAGAGCTTGCCAACAACTGATGATCTACCTAGATATTGAGCTGTTAGCATGGCAGTGTTTGGTCAGAGGCTTCTTCAGATTTGTTGCGAGACTGACTGCTACTGGATATCCTTCCTGGCCACAGCATCACCATCCATAATGTCTCTTTAAAGACATTTGGATGACATTAATTTCCCTTTGCAGTAAAATAATTAGTTCTGATTTTAAATGAACTGTGGTGTGCACTTAATACCATTCCGTTGTAGCTCTGGTTATTCCCAGTGTTTCATTAACTCTGCCCGTCTTTCCTGTTTTCTGCTGAAGGAAAGCGTCCTTACAGTATCAACACTGTTTGGCATATTGACCAAGAACAGATCAACGGTGGCCTCGTCTCACCGCAGCACCTTCTGCCACATGTTTGTGGCTTTCTTTGGACGGAGGGTTTCTCTTTTTTAATGAAGTGACTTCTAAAGACAGTTGGCTGCTCTGGATTTTATGAGGCATAACAAAGTGGAAGGAGGTGGAGAATCATTGAAAAAATTGATCGTTTTAAATATGAATTGTGATTAATCCTTTCGTGTTTTTAAGCATTCATAATTAACAGATTAATAGATTTCATATACTGATGTATCCTGTTTTCGGTCTGGCTTGTACAGCACGATTTGATTAAACGAAGTTGATCTCGAGTATTGTCCCTCCACTTCCAGATTATAAGCCTCTTTGTGTTGGTCGATTGCAGATAATTCCCAACAAAAACACAGAATTAGTGGCAGTAATGTGAAAAAATGTGAAAAAGGTTAAGGCATGATTTGTGAAACCAGCCTGCATGTGTGAGGGAAATATTCTCCCACATAGATTTGTGTCAGTTTCTTCAAAATAAAAAGTTCCCCTCTGGAGACTGGAAGCTCTCTGTAAACTCTAAATATTCTCCCCTCTGTCACATTTAATGCTATTAATTTCCTTTTTTCATAAATATCCTCCTACTTTCTGCCAAGATTGACACTGTAAATTTCAGAAAGTAATCCTTGTGACAATTTATTGAAATTACATTATTCACAGCTGATGCAGGAGCTGAGTTCAGTTCAGTTCATTGAGTGTTACGGCTCAGGGTCTGTGAAACGGGGCTTAATTTCACCAATTACAACAGAGCTCCACTCAAATAAACTTCTCCAAATGGGCTCTAATCCGCTTTGTCTTTCTGGTATTTGAGAAATCAAAAAAGCTGTACCCTCGACATGGAGATCCACTGGTTCCTTTGTTTCCAACCGAGCAGAGGCGGTTTTCTGACAAGCTGTGGAGCTGCGGCGCCACCAAGTGGTCAGAAGGGTCCAAACCGGCTGCAGCTTCAATTCATTTCATGACTTTCTGGAGGTAGGGGGTGCCGACCTGGTTCCAACCATGTTGCTGTGAGAATCAAACCAGTGAGAAAAAAAAAAGAAATGAAGTATAACTTGACAGTTTAACTAGAGTGGAAGGAAATGCAGTAAAAATGCGTCCTGTTTTTTATTTTATTTTTTACTGATTCTTTGAAATGTGTTAAATGAACTGAAAAGGAAGTCAGCTGGGATGACAGGTGTTTGTTATTTGCTTTTGTAAAAAAAAAAAAAAAAAAAAAAAAACATTCTGGATGTTTGGTATCAGCATAATATCATGTTCAATAACATTATGTTATCATAATAATAACTCTGCTCTGTAGGAGTCTTGAATCATCACCCATAAATATTCTTTAATAAATAAGTTATTGTTTGGCTCCAACCATTCAACGTCAGAAACATGAACTAGACGCACTGAGTCTGATTATTCCAGAGGTTCCCAAACTGTGGGGCGCGACCCCTAGGGGGGGCGCCGTGTCATTGCAGGGGGGGCGCGGGAAGCCGTCTGGATGAAAACAAAACAAAACATGAACACTGTATGCGCTGGGTTTTTACCTTAGAATGGCCAACTCTCTGTTATTCCTATGTCAATTTAATACAGTAGAGGCTTCCACACTTTCCATATTTGTGTCCTCTGTCACTTTTATCAACAGTTAAAATTGTTTAATCCGTTGTTAACATGTTGTAACCTGTTTTTCCGAGCCGCCTTTAAACGCAACATGAGCGCTACGACGCTCGCGCTGGAGGAGACCTGCTGCTGGGCGGAGCTACGTAGGTTTGTGTTAGAATCACGGCAGCAAACCAGCAAAACGCAAAGAACTTTTCACAGTTTTTCCCTCCAAACTAACCGACTGAGTTGAGTAAAGCTGTTGGATGCAGGTAATGTTAGCTAAAAGATGACTAGCTAATATCAGTACTGAAACTGAAGCTTAACAAGTAGCTTGTAGGCCACCGATGTTGGTGTCTATTTTCAGCTACGTACATTCATTTTGCCCCCCAAAAAGTCGACCCCCCTCCCCCGCGTCACACGCGTCTTCAACCAGACAGCCATTTGTGATCCATAGGGGGGCGCAGAAGAAAAAGTTTGGGAACCACTGGATTATTCCAACCATTCTACTGAACCAGTCCTTCAAGAGTAACTAAACCTTAATCATAGACTGTCTAAATTATATAATATATATTAATATACATTAATAAATATATTGTCTAAATAGGTTTTTACATAAAACTGTATCAGTGCTGCCCTCTTCGGTTGGTCAGTGGCTACTGCAGTTAGATTTTCGTACAACGGTACAGCTTGATTGATGTCAATCAGCCTCGCTAGCATTCAGGTAGCTAGGCTCATCTTACTCAGATGAAAGGCCGCATGGCGAGTCAGAAGTTGGAATAGCAATTACGGATTAATGTTTTTCAGCTGTGCTTCATGTACTTGGTGCTAAATGTGCTAATGGCAGAGAAGCAACTTACCGACACAGGAAAAGCATTTATCTGCCGTCACTGATGGCCAGGCTAACTAATAGCCTTAGCATTCAAGACAGGCTCTGCTAGTTGCAGAGAGCGGAAAGGGGGCGCAGAGCAACAAAGAGGGTGATTGACGGCGCTGT